TTTCCTCTTCCTGTGCCCAGGAGAGCCTCAGAAGTGACGAGGCGATTAAAGCGAAGAGATAATTATAGATTATGTGAAAATGGGTCCCTTGGGGACCCAGGGCCTTGACATAAACAGTAAGTGTTGAGAGTGCCTCCCGGCTCCGCTCCACCGCGCTCCCGCTCGCCCGGTGGTGCCGTGCCAAGCAGGTGGGCGAAGCCACCTGTTAGCAGCACCCGGGGCCGCTCCGCAGTGGGTCTGCTGGGATGTGGCTCCCAGCCCTGGGAAAAGGGGAGAAGACGCCCAAAGTAGCACCCGATTGCAAACTCGCTGCCCAGAGCTCTGTGCCGGAGGTAACCTGCGAGGGGGGAGCAACGGGATGGTGCAAACCTGGAGGATGCTCTCTGTGCAAGGGTGGGACGTCTGGATTTCAAGTCTCTTCTGTGCCTTTTTTCTTGGCAGTCTCGGTGACTGTTTAGGAAGCAGAGATGTTTACAGCACTCTAGGTAAGAGGTGAAGGCTGATGAACCAGGGACAGGTCTTTTCCATAAGCTGTTTAAAAACTGTTGGCTCAACACATGTGTTTTGGACAGCTTATGAAGAAGGCTTGTGAAACCTTCCAAGCTCAGGGAAAGATGGCTTACTTTAAGTCCTTCTACGTCCTTTTATTCAAGGAAGAAGCTGCCCATGTGTTACCTGCAGGCAATGGATATGCTTCAGCTTGACATTAAATCAGTTAGCATCTCATACTGGGGATGGGAGAGAGAAGAAAATAGTTTTAGGGGTTAAACATCTTCAGCAAGAGAGAAAATATTTCTGGCTATTCTCAAGAAATAGATATAAACACATTCGCTGCTTTTACTGACAGTCAAGTGGCCGCTGATTTGAAGACTCAATTCTTTAGCTCCACAAAAAGAGCCAGGACTTGTATGTCACCCAATCTGACATGGAAACAAAATTGCATCTCGGTCTTACTTGTAGCTACAAGTTTTAAATAATTCTACACATCTCCATTAAGTCCAGTTTCGTGGTTGTTCCCATCTAAGATGTCTTGAATGCTGTATTTTTACTGAAATTGATATTTTTTTCTGAAAATACTGATAGAAGTGCTAGGGATTCCTCTCCCAATAATATTATCTGAGCAATGTCTTTGCAGTGTCACTTACTCTTGTATTTCTGATCTGTTTCTGTCTGGTTTCAGAGTGTTTCTATCAGTTTCTGAGCCTTACTGCTGCCTCTTACCAGTTTCATGTGCTTACCAGTTTCATGTGGAGTACAAATTCCTGCTAGGAACTAGTCTGATAAAAACTCTGCATCCTTTTTGTTTTCTTGTAGCTACTATGGTGGAGGGATTCCACAGTATGTACACATACAGACATGTGAAATAAAGGAGGGGTAAAAGAACCCTGAGTTGCAAGGTTTTCAAGCAGTGTTTCTTATTTGTCCTGTGTGGTTTTGAATGCAAAGTCAACAAATGACAGTAACTTGTCTTTATTCTAGTCGTGCCTCTCAAGTGGAGCTTTTTCCCTAGTATTGGTCCCTCCAAAAATCTGGTTTTAACTCCTCTGAGCTCTTTTCTCAGTTTCTGTTCCTGATTTTGGCACGTGACTAGATCAAATTGTTTTAAATGTCTGGAGTTCATCTTCACGTGACTATTTTGTGTGGAGGTGAAATGTCTTCATTATGACTATGGGCTTCCCTCGAATCTATTCAGGAAAGGGCTTGTTTCTCTTTTGTTAATATTTATAGAGAAGTTTGAGATAATATATGCTAATTTCTTTTTAAGGGAGGGGGCATCAGGGGCCAAGGAATGGTTTAAAGCTTGAGAAATAAATGCAGAGTAGAAAGATGAAATTTCCCAAAACCTTATCTTCAGGTGGGGAAATTGCTGTTCTGGATTAAATCCATTGTGGAGACTTCTGAAAGAAAAGTGGTTTTTTGGAAGGGGGATACATAGAGCATTTGCAGAGGTGGTTATTCCAGAAAAGCTAAATCATATCCGAATAGCTGTGTCAAGTCGTTTCTCCCTTACAGATAATAATATTCTCAGGAAAAAAAGCTTAGTCTGGGGGCTGTGATAGGACGATTGCCTGATTTTTTGGTACATCGGTGTTAACATGCCCTGTCTGTGCTGGTGCAGACCCTGCAGAAGAGAGAGTGATCTGTAATAAATGAAGTGTGTGTGGCTGAGCAGTGGGGGAAACGCTGCTGGAACCAAGTTACTGTATGGTGGTGTCCAAATAGCTGCTTTCAGCAGCTAAGGGTGTGTTTGAGAGATTGGGCTAACAAGGTAGGACTAGAGGGACTTCCCAGCATATCAGATCAGCCCTTGTTAGTGGGAGCAGACACGTCTCATAACCTCCGTCATGAATCTGTCAAGCACCATCTCCAGCAATACAAGCTTTTGCCGTTTCTAATCCTGCTGTGAAATTCTTTTTTTCCCAGATTTCAAAGTAATTGCATCTAAAGCAGGTGGTGATCTATTTCCCAGGAGCTTGTGTAGTGTGCAGACAAAACCACCAGCGAATGAGTTTGGAGACAGGTTAAGAAACTGGAAGACTTCTGTAACATCCCCAGGCCTACACATGGAGTGTGAAATCTTGTGCAGCATCCAGCTTTTTTGCTGGAAAGGTGCAAGTCAGCTGTGAGGAAGGACTGCTTGTGTACAAAGAATAGGGGTGACGTACAGGAGAACAGTGCTACTAAAGGAGCAACATGAGAGAGAGGTCAGAGTAAGTGACTTCTTCAGAGAAAGGAACACATTACTGCAGGAGCTGAGTATCAGTACTTTTTTCCCAACTTTTTACTGGCACTGAGGAAGGGAACAGATGCTTGGGGTCTGAAGAATAGAGTGTAACTTAGTAAGCCGGGTGTGTAATAGTAGGACTGGAAGTCAAAGTTGTGTCATGGAGCTCTGCCTGTCCTGATGGGAGCAGGCGACGTGGTCTTAGTGACATCGGTATTTTCATTTTTGTTGAGACTACAGGTCAGAGAGCATCACTTTTTCTTTGTAACCCATTGCTCAAATGCAGATAATGTTTAGATTTTATTTTTCCTTGCTCTGACATTCTTCAGCCTGCAAGCTTCAAGAGCGATGTGAATGAATGGGAAGAGTACTGTTGCCTGTTAGCACCAGGGAGTCGGTTCTCCTCGAACTGTGCCGTGGCATTGCGGAGGCTGTTCTCCCCTGCCCAAAACGCCCTTAGCAGAAGGACCTCCACAGTGGGTCTGACCTGCTCCAGCAACCTCCCATTTTTATACGGAATTTCCTTTGAGGCTGTCATGTCTGAGTTCTGCTGAACATCCAGACTGTCTTAAGTTGAGATGATTGAAAACTGAGGATGTCACAAGGGGCAACTACTTTGTGTTTAACTGTCATGAAGCTGCCAAGTCCCATAGCAGTGCTGATGAGTTCATTTGAGCTCTAGTTTTGATTTGGAAACTAGAAAGAGTGGGTAATATGTGGGCTTCTGGCTTACTTGTAGAAAACCAATGACCTCTTTTCTTTACTGCTTACTAGGAACGCAGCTGTTATCAGTGTATCTGTACCTAAAGGTATCATTGCAAAGGTACCTCGTGCTAGTATGGCATAGACCCCTGTCCATAGAAAAATCAACCTTATTGGAATAAACTTTTCATCATGGACGGTAGGAGAGCTGTGCTTTCTCAGCAGTATGGGTGTCGGTAACTTCCCATCATTAGATATGCAAGTGCACAGATCTATACTGTAGGATAGGAATGTCTTCATTTGTCCCTGTCCCTTTGCTAACCATTTGCTTTTTTAATTGCCATGAAGCACTGTAGCTCCAGTCACTCATACAAAACTCGCTTGTAATGTTTTAAGAATCTGTGAAATGTCTTAACTTCAATAGAGGTTCTGTTTAGCTGATAAGAACACAAGTTTTAAGGTGTCTGAAGCCAAGGGACTGCTTTTTACCTCTAGAAGAAGCTATAGGTGGAATTCAAGCACCTGTGACACCACAACTTGTTGAGCTCTGCCACAAGAAGGCTTAAGTGAGCACGCACTGGTGTCCTGGCACAGGCACGTGCTGGTCTCTCTGCGTATGCCAGCCTGCTTCTCTGAGCAGAGATCATGGTCAAGCTTTGTCTTAACACCATTGATGTGAAAAGGAGGAGTGCAATTGGGTCACTTGCAGGCTGGTAAATAAATAAAAAAAAAAAAGAAAAGAAAAGAAAAAACAAGCCCCGTGGTCAGATTTCAAAACTCCCTCCAAAGATTTCAAAACTCCCTGGGCAGTTACTTACCAACAAGTGCCCCGTAATAGCAGGCACCTGTTTTGAAGCCACCAAAAGAAAGTATTTGCCCACTGTTCAGCCCTTTGCAGACAGAATGCTAAGTTGTAGAACTTGTTCTTTAGAGATGCCAAGAGTATGAATGGGTTAAAGAGCAGAATAGAGTGGAAAAAGGACCTGGAAAAGACTGATAAATATACTCATCTGGATGCAGCCTCTAGCTACAGAAATCCTTAAGTCAGTGAGTTTCTGAAGCTGGGAGGATCTAACCGGGGACAGATTACTTTGCATATGTCCTGTTTCTTCTGCTTTTTTCTCCAAGCCACTGTTAGTGGCCACTGCATGAGATGGATGGCATCAGAAGGGTCTTTGGTCTGACCCAGGGTGGCTGTTTTAAGTTGGTAGAGCAGGGAGAAGAGCACCTTTAGCCTTTTATCTTCTGTGGGATTGCAGTGATTTATACCAGGGCTCAAACGTGGTTTTTGCTGTCTAACTTCATGGACTTCTTGTGTCAGTTCACAGGAGTGAGCTGACTGTTGTCCTGGCACAATATTGTTAAAAACAAACTTTATTTTCTAAGAAGTAGAATCTTCTGTCTCTTACCTTGGAAGAAAACCAGACTACTCTGCATGTGCAATACTAGGCGTCTGTTTCAGTCCAGTGGTACTATTGAAATGTCTGTAGAAAAGTCAGAGCATATGATGTGCATGTGGCCTTTGTGTTGTGCAATAACACAGTGCTTTTTTTGCTTTTTGTTTCCTGAATAGGGACGAGGACAAGAACATTTTTGATTACTGCAGAGAAAACAACATTGACTATGTAACCAAAGCCATTCGATCTAAAAAAGTGGATGTGAATGTCACTGATGAGGAGGTATGGAGAAAGAGATAAAGACCATTAATCTTTTAACTGTTTTGTGTATTAATTCAGTGCCACTCCTTTTCAAAATTCCCTGGTTAGGATTGTTATTAACAAGTTACTACAACAGTTGGACAAACGCGTTGTCATTGAGACAGGGATAATCTATTTGAAAGTAGCTTTCCTTTGGATTTATCATACAATCACAGAATGGTTTGGGTTGGAAGGGACCTTAAAGATCATCTAGTTCCAACCCCCCTGCCATGGGCAGGGACACCTTCCACTAGATCAGGTGTGAATGTACTAACCGTGATGCTGTAGCATATCAGAAACTTTCTATGTTATTTTTAGCAATGCCAGCAGCCACTTGCAGAATAAGATCTTCTGAATACCTCCCTTTCCCCACCTTGTACACTAAATGTGATGAAATAGAAGTAGGAATTGAGGGAAATGGCTTTTTTTTGACCATGAACTGTGTTCATGGGTGAAGTAGAATTTCTGCCATGCCATCGGCTTTTCATTGTTCCCATGTGGAGGCCAAATGAGTGATACCAGCTTTCCAGCTTCAAAAAACAGTGACATTGTCCAGTCTTTCCCTGCTCATCAAACGCAAAACACCATTTCTCCCCATAGGGAGATAATACAGGCGTTGCCAGAAACCTCAGGAGAAACAGAAGTGTCTAAAATTGTGAATTGGCTTGATCCTTTTCTTGGTAAAAGTAAACACCGGGTGTGGACAGTTTCCTGCTCATCCTTCAGGAAAGGTAGCCATACCAGCTTTATCGCCTTGGTTTCGATGCTTGCATACTGCCACCTAGCCCTGCTCGCCCTCCATCGTACGTGTGTACAGCTGCTTGTGCCCGCTGCTTTCCAGCACGTTGTGTTTCGGTGAACAGATGAAGTGCTTACACATTCATAGACTGAGACGCCGCAAATTCAGTTGGGTTCTCCTATAGCTCTAAGCAGATTTCTGCCCTCTGAGCCATGACAGCCCCGGCTGGGGCTCTGAATGCTGATGGCAGAGCCTTTTATTATTAATCAGGAATTCATGTGAATTAATTTTCAGAGAGGAGGGAGAGTGTTCACGATCAGGGTTGGAATTTCGCATCATAAATTCAATGAACTGAAACTGTCATGTGCCACGCAGTCGCTGCAACAGCGCCGTTGCTGAGCTCCGTCCCTCCTTCTGCGCATCACAGGATACAGAAGTAAACGTCCAGGGCAGTCCCACAGAACATGGCTGGAGTCCTTTCGTTAGTAAAAGCTCCTTTTTGGGATCACACACTCGCAATAAATGTGTAATAACATCATGTTGGTGTTGCATCATTTCCACTGGCAAAATGCTCTTTTGTAGTTAGCGGCGTTTAGAAGCTTGTACTTTTCTTTGTGTTCGAGCAATGAATGTGCTTGTTTTCAGCCAAAGGAATTTTGTGGGTTTTTTAAAAAAAAAATTAATCAAAATATTTTGTGAAAGATGGTTAAAATATTTTTGTGCTCCCACGATGTAAATGTTCACAGCCAGGATCTGAAAACTGCCAGGTGACATCCTCTTTGGGAATTATCCACAAGTCTCTGATGTGAGAGAAGACTTATTTCTGAACTAACGGGTATTAACATATGACTATTGCAGCATATGGAATTGCTTCAGCACTGGTACAGGCTGAAAATCCTGCCTGCCTGTGAAGGGCTCATGGGAAGATTCCCACTGGTGCAAAATTCCCCCATAGATGACATTCTCACAGCCTCAGTGATTTTTGGCTTACCTTAGCAAGTGCTCAAACAGGGAAGTAAGAACTTTTTTTTTTTTTTTGGCTGGTTTCCTTAGGCTTGACTCTAACTGGTCAAAAAAAAAAATCAGCATACCTAAAAGAAAAATCTGAAAGAAGCATTTATTTCGTGTTATATTAAGGAGCTGAAACCATTACCAATATTGTTCAGTATCCAAACGTGTTCTTCACAATCTTGGAGGGTAGCTTATTTTCCAATATCGTGCAGATTGATTGAAGTTTTAGAACCCGTTTTCGACTAGAGATAACCCAGACTGAGCCTTTGGTAGAGTGAAGTGTATGCAAGCATAATCTTGGCGGTTTTATTAACTATTTTAGTGTTACTGTATAAACACATCCTGCCATATCCAAAAGATGCCTCTCCTAGCTCTCTGAACGTAACTCACGCTGTCAATCGTTTGATTTAAATGCATATAAATTTAAAATGACAGCAGGGATACATGCAAAGAGTTAACTTGTTATAAAACAAAATCTACTGAAGCACCAAACAGGCTCGTGCTGAACTGCAAAGATGCTGGGCTCAGACTTTCCTTGAACCATAAAGACTTGACTGGGGCTGTAAGGTGTTTACATTTTATTTCTGTGTGATGTATTAGTACTGTATCTAATTGTATCCTCTCATTTGGTGCAAACCTGAAATAAGTTAACGAAAAGAGAAAAGAAATGGAGAATAAAAACGTAAAATGGGGATAAGCCAACTTACTCAAAGCAAAAGGATTTTAGAAAGGGCAATAGATGTATCTGGGGTTTAGATAAATGCACTTGGCAACTTTCAAAGCATAAGTGGTCTTCTCCCACATGAAATCAAGGTCTCCGTGTACAGCATTCAAGCCAGCATACCTGCTAACAGTTTGGATACAATAAACTTCAATTTAGAATTAAACAAAGAATCTAATGACAGTAATCATGTACA